TGATTCAGAATTTGAAAACTGAAAAAAAACAAATTTCTGAAGTGTCTGATAGATGCCTGAGAAGATTGTCTTGTCCAAAATTGGTTATTTAAACTTGCCATCACATAGCTGGAATAGTGTTGAGTATTAAACAGCGTTAACCAACAAACAAACCTTTAAGATATTCACAATGAGGAAACAAATTATCATTCTTATGTTGTAGGATTGGTATAACTATAATAGTACATCTAGCCTCATGACAACACAAACAAACAAACAAAATCTTTGCTCCCTTCTCATTGTCCCCACACCAGATTACCTGCTTGGCAGAACACTGCTCATATGTTCAGCCTAATGTCTTATACCATCTTCCCGCACAGAATCAGGAAGTGGTGTTCATGACTGTTATTACTGGACAAGGATGCACGATCCTTATCTGGATTGTCTTTATCCGGATTGTAATAACACCCTTTCTTCCCTCCACTTCCCCTTTAGCATCATAACATAAGGGCAGCTGTTATTTAGATCCCTCCCTGTGGAATAAGTCACAAGTGCTGAGAATAAACAGAGCTATGCCCGTCTCCAAGCCAGGTTACTGTAAGTGGGTCAGTTTGTCAGCCTCGTTGAGTCTTCTTCTGTCAAGTGTTTGTGTGTCAGCATGTAGAGAGGCTGATCAAGTAGGATATTTGTTTTCAACCCTAAGTAAAAGTTTTTTATGGTGTTGTAAACTTTTATGATCAGATGTGTAGGCTCAACAATATTATATCTAGACTTTGAGGAATGTATGCCATCATGCTTGACAGAAGTCTGTGGGAATAGTTTTTTAGAATATTAATAGGTGATAGTTTTCAATTTCATATTCAATATGCATTATCTGCTTTGAATACAATACATCAGTGAAGAAGAATGGAAAGTAGTCCTGAATTGATCATGTTGCATGGCTTTGTTTTAAGCTCACTGCATCACTGAAGGTCCAAGTGTGCGTACAGCATGGAACCTGGTTAGTTCTCTGTGTGTCTGTCCATCTCTAGGGGCCACGGGTGGCCAAGTCGTCTAAGGTGCCGTGATTCACTTTGCAGAGTTGTGTCCCTTGGACACGCCAGAACCCTATGATTGTGGGTTCGAAACCCGGGTTCGCCCCAATTTTTTCTAGGTTTGTCAGCACCATACCTGGGCTCGTTGTAAACGTCTGAGACCTGCATCACTTCGGGCTTTCCTCCCACATTAAGCTGACACGCTGTGATATAACTGGAATACTATTAAAAGCGGCGTTAAATCCTAACTCACACACTCACTCTGTCCATCTCTGGTTTGTTAAGTTGACTTCTCTGAACCAACAAACAGTGACAGACCTTTGATTTGCTCATGGCCTAGAATTGAATGTTTTAAATATTTTCGATTTGAAAACACTAATAGCATCATGTTTTCAGAAATCAAAAGATTCAGAGAGTTGATATTTTGGCTGATATGTAGCAGGACAACACAATTTCTTAAGATTTAGAAAAAAATTATGAATATCACAGTAATGGAGCTGATAGAAACAATGATTACTGTATTCGACGTAATAAGCGCCCAGGGCGCTCTCAAAATTAGAAATAGGGGGCTCTTATTTGAAAGTTGAAAGTTATTTGAGTTGGAAGAGAAATTTCGTGGTTTATGCGGACAGCCTGAAATGTTTATGTACGACAGATATATTTTTCCAGAATTAAATGCCCACAATTAAGTGTGCATATAACACACGAGTGAGTATTATACGCGAATAAATAAGTCTTGTGTACATTGATCAATCGGAAGGGATGCTAATTGGGATTGTTCACTGGCCAATATCTCAGCACATGTCTTCGTGGGCGCTTATTTCGTCGAATACGGTATGCATTTCATTTAGGCACTATCATCTGCATTCAACTGTGACCTTTTTTCACGATGTTGCAAACATGAAATATTTTCCATCTTAGAACATAATGTAGTTAGGCTTTACATGAATGTTTGAGATCATATAAGAATAAGAATATTTCATTGAGATCCTTTTGTCCTCTCAAAGCAAACCGACCAAACGGCTCAAATTACTCAACTGATAACATAACATCAATTATTCCATTACTCGAGAGTTACACCTTTGCAAACACCCATTGTCATTTAATTTTCGTCTCTAATTTCCTTTTATTCCTAATGGAATCTTTTTCTTTGGATAATCAAGACTGTTTATTCTCTTGTTGATGACTAAAAGTTTCACTTGAAACAACTTTCAGCTGTGCCAGGTGAGCATTAGTGCCTTGACATTTTTTCAATGATTTCTGACACCTGTGAAATATGCTTTAGAAATAAGACAAAGCTGAAAATGAAAAAAACAACCTGCAAGAAGTCTTTAGAAACAAAAAAGATTTTCTTGAATAATGCATTGCCCAGGGGTTGATATTGGATTCATTACACAAGTGGAAGGGGAGAATTCCTGCCGTTATAGAAATGGTCATTAGGATGGGGAACTTGAGTCTGCAGCACTCTTCTCCTGTGTGAGATGTGTCAGCATTTGTAAGTTACCGTTATAATGAGTGAATTAAATAAATGTCAACTTTCAGTTTGTGATCAAAATAGCAGCATTGGAACCTTAACACTTCAGATAATTGAGATCATCTTACTGATGAATAGTAAATGAGATGGCACAAGGTATTACTGAGGGCAAAAAGTTGAACCATGCACACTTATACATTCTAAATGGTCCAATCTGAAGCAGAACAGTGTGTGGTGCTCTTGCCCACAGTATTCATGTGAAACATCACATTAATTTATCTTTTAATGGATGGTGTTATGAATGCAATAAACCGATCTGATAAACTTGGTATCATGATCTGATAAATATGCCAATGAGGTCCCTTAGCAGGAACTAGTTTAATCTCCATACATCGATTTGATGTCTGCTTTGCTCAATATCTAATGATAAATGTTTCCAATAAGTTTTGATTGTGATTTTCTGAGGTTTGGATGATTATGACAAACATAGTGCAAGTCCGTTGGCACTATGCAATTCACTCAAACACTATATTCATTCTCAGTTTCTAAAGTGTAACTTCATAGAGAGAAATTGTGACTCAAGCATTGATTACTGTACATATGACAATGTGATAAAGAGGTTATTACGTTTGTGTGTTATCATATCATAAAAAAACAAATATTTTAGGAATAAAAAATATGTGTTATCCTTGTCAAAGGCTTGCTCAGTACAATTTATATTCCTCATATATGATATTTTTTATTTGGAAACACACTCATCTAGTAGTCTATATATGTGTGATTAGAAATTAAGTATTTGATTTGTAATTTAGTTACTATAAAGAGGGTTAGCCTAGTGGTTAAAGCAATCGCTAGTCACCCCACATGGGTACAATGTGTGAGGCCCATTTTTGGTGTCCCTCGCCCTGATATTGCTGGAGTATTGTTAAAAGCAGTGTAAAACCATTCTCACTCACTCACTCACTAGTTGCTATAAACAATTGGTCTTCGCAAAGTTGTCATGTTTTTATCTGAAAAAGACAAGTTGACACAATCCTGTTACATATGGAAAAGACCAGTAGAGAGTCAGTCTGATGGGTCCAAGGCTCAGACAACCTTATTTTTCCAAAGTAAATGGAGAGGTCAAAACCCCATATATAAAACATAGCCCTTTTTAAACGATTCAAGCCTTTAATTTACCCACAACAATACATAATTAACAACTTTTCCCACCAATTGTGGATTAAGCTAACTGGATGTGTGTAATATCTAAATACCGTATTCGACGTTATAAGCGCCCAGGGCACTCTCAAAATTAGAAACAGGGGGCTTTTATTAGAATATTATGTTGGTGAAAAAAACAGAGTTGAAAGATAAATTTCGTGGTTTATAGTGACAGTCTGAAATGTTTATGTACGACAGATATATTTTTCCAGAATTTAATTGCCCATAATTAAGGGTGCATATAACACACGAGTGTGTATTATACGCAAAAAAATAAGTCTTGTGTACATTGATCAATCGGAAGGGGTGCTAATTGGGATTGTTCACTTGCCAATATATCAGCAAATATCGCTGTGGGCGCTTATTAGAGCGGGGCGCTTATTACGTCGAATAGGGTATGTTGCTTAAGACAACATTTCATTCCAAGTCCCATAATTGGGAAAACATTTGAAACACGTTGCCACATTGACAGCTATAGCTCAAGATCTCAAACACACAGAACATTCTACTTGCAGTTACATTTTTCATGCACAGTCTAAAGTTCTCCAATCTCACTCAAATCAGATCTAAGTTCTCGCTGCTGCTAAACAAAGATCTGAGGACATCCCTTTATGGGTCATGTCAGAACAACCTTTTGCGAACTTTGTGAACGAGTAGTCGACATCAGCCAATTAGAAAGCAGCTTTCTTGAGCTTTACAGCACTTGTTTCAACCTGGCGACTTCCATTTCAGACTAAGCTTGAAAAATATGTTGATACAGTTCTCGATTAAAATTTTGAAAACTGAATAAATGAACATTCTGGATGTCAAATATATAGTTTCGAATGTGTGGCGGTTCTTCCCACATACTGTGCAACGCCTACTCCGTTCAAATGTTTATCCCACGAAAGTGAGAGATATACAATAATTTTGACGGAATCAGTCGTACTGGCTGTAACTGTCATTCGGAATACACTGTGTTACATTTTGTGGTTGCATGATTAGAAAACACATTCCCACCGTCACTTTCATGATCTGGTAAGCGACGCTTTGATTGGTCGGATGAAAGGTTGTCCCTGTTTGTTTTCTAAACCTGAAGGGCACTTCTGTTAATTGACTGTCTTTGTCACAATTTTTCGACTATTGTCGACCTATCCAGGTGAGCTACAATTTTGATCTAAAAGGAAAACTAGTTACTCGCATGTGGGTGTGTACTCATGCAGGAGACAAGTCTGAGATTTATCAAGCCACCATAAGAGATAATGTGATTGTGTATGTAGGCTATTAAGTAACGGTGACATTAGTTGCTATGTATTGTGTATATGTTACAGGTATGAAGATGGCCAAGTCGGAGACAACACTATCAACACACAAAAGGACAGATATAAACAGGAGATTATGCGGGCCGTGGGATACAGGAATGTCTAGTGCCATCAGGTGAATAACTCCATAGTTCCACTTATCATGTATAATACTCAGTACTAATGTGGGGGCACGGCTGTGCAGAGTTGCTTCCCTTAGACATCCACGACACCTATGGTCATGGGTTTGAATCCCGGTTTGCCATGATGATGTTTCTCGGTCTGTCAGCACCAGAACAAAAGGTATGCTTGTGGGTTTGACAAGTGTCTGAGTCCTGCATCACTTCAGGCTTTCCTCTGACATGAAGATGACAAGCCGTGATATGGTGGAAGTACTGATCAATGTGGAGTTAAACCAAACTCGCTTGCTCACTCACTCACTCACTCACTCGATCACTCACTCACTCACTCACTCACTCACTCACTCAATAGTATTTGTTTTTAGAAAGGAAGGTAATATGTTAAAAAGGGTTTTGTTTGTAGAAATTTGATCAGTTGATTCTATTGTGTATTTAAAATCCATTACAGTTTGTACTTGATGGAAGAGTTGTCATCAGAAGTAAAATTCTTATATAGTTCAAACTTAAACACAATAAGAACTGACATAAGTGGTTAAAATACTTGGTCAAATACATGACAAGACTTTAGCTTCTCAGGCAATAACTTGTTGGCCAAAAACACAGGAATAAGATATTTCATGTTGATATATTCATATATCACATATATTAACCCTTTCATTGTTATAATAATCATAATCATTTTTGATGAATGGTTGAATACTTCAGATAAATGGAGGTTACTAAACAAACATGGTTTCTTCAACAGAACTGGTTTCCATGTGCTTGAAAGTGGCAGTTTCTGATGTTTCCACAGTGTGAAGAATTGAAGACAAGACGAGACAACCACCATGACAAGGGAATATAACCAGTAACATTCACCCTGCGTGATGGCATCGCTGTGTGTGTTCAGCAAAGATGCATGCATAATATTGGAAGCAACTGCTCTGATAGAATACATGGCACTGACTCAACTGAACCCAGTGCCATGGTCAGGATGGCAATGACGAAGAAATGTGATAAATATCATCTGACGTTACTTCTGTGAATACTAATCTATACTGTTTTCTCAAACAAGAAGCTACAGCCGTTTCAGGAGTGACAGTTTCACAGATTGATGGAATTCCAGTGATTGGAACAGCAGCTGCCTGGTTTCCGTGGTTGTTTGTTTCACTACCCCGGACACAGGACAGCGGCTGTTCACCTGTACTGTAGTTCTAAGGTAGTCAGCCCTTTCTGCATTGGGAAATTGATATGTTGATATATTTTTACAACTTGACTGAGAACATAAGGGAGTTACTTAAGATATGCATGCCCCCTGTACATATAGGAAACCATCATCATCAATTTTGCAGCCCATCAACAGTGAAGGAGTCTTCACTATTATTTTCTGCTGAGAGGTCAGTGTCACATTTTTATTGTTGACACTTTGTTGCTTCACTTTGCTATGTCCTGGAAACTGAGAATTAGTATGAGTTTACAGTCAGCGAGGGACCTTCAGGAATGTTTTCCCTCAACGATTATTTCTCAACAATGTGGAGGGTCAAGTTTATGTAATCTCGATCATAACCAGATCGTTCTACAAAGCTGTTTTATTAGTATTAAGTTGAAGTATCAGTGTCTTTCGACTATGATTGTTCTGCGCAAGTAGGCCCAACCTGAGCTTTATTGATCACCAGACGACAGAGATATGTGATCTTTGAGTAGCAGTTCAGAAGCAATGACGAGTTGACTCATGGATGTCAACTTTTTTATTCATGTTCGGCGCCATGTTTTGTACAGATGCTGTACATATGCTTGATGAAAGCACCAGCATCTGAAGCGACTATGCTTGTCGTAAGAGGCGACTAACGGGATCAGGTGGTCAGGTTCGCTGACTTGGTTGATGCATGTCATTGTATCCCAATTGCGTGGATCGATGCTCATGATATCAATCACTGGATTTTCTGGTCCAGACTTGATTATTTACACACCAACTTCATATAGCTGGAATATTGCTGAGAGAGGAAACAAACAAGCCAGCATCTGTACTAGAACATCAACTCCATTTCTGACTCTGGCTACATCATTGCATCTGATCAGTCAGTTTATAGTTTTGTATTGACCTGATTTAGTATCACAGCCGTCCTATGTACTGACTGCTGGCCTGTAAACATTGTGTTACTAATATCACTGAGCAATTATCTCTCTTCAAGTTTAGATCAAAGTGAAATATTATGGTCCTGTTAACGTGATGCATGTGCAGAATGGATTGAGAACATTCCTCCCACAGTGAGAACGACTTACCAGACTTGAATCAACAGTGCTGGCTAAGCTACCACAGGTTACAGGGTCCAATAGAGTGTTCAGCTGGAGAACGTTAAGGTTTGTTAGTGTAGCTACATCACCATGTATCAAAAGATGCTCACAAACTGTGTGTATGGAACTTCATTTGGTTGCTTTTTAACCTTTGGTCTGAGTGATAAGGCACACTTCTATTCTGTATGTCCCAAACAGGTAAACTTAAATATATTCAGTGAGGAAATGGTTATATAGATGTGCAAATGGGTAGATTAGTGTGTTTTGATAAGCATTCCACTCATTATAAAAAAGTCCACTAATTATGCAGTTTGTCTGAATCAGTTGACATGGTGTGTTTTTTTCCTTTGTTTTGAATGCATAATGATAAACATGTGTTTTCTGCTTGAAGAGCTAAAGGTTATGTCAACATGGTTAGTTGTTGTATTGCTGACTCTTTGCTTCTTGTATTTGAATCTATTGTCTTCTTACAAGCTACTTCAGATGTTCTATATTCATCATAATAAGCTTAATTTACAAAATGTTATCTAGTGAAGCTTAGCCATTCCTGCTGTTATAGTATTAGACAATATCATGCTTGGATTAGCAGGGGATTGTCTGCTGTGATAAGACTAGACGAAGCAAGCAGTGTCACTGTAGCTGGAATTCTAGCATCTCCAGCAGGACCGTATTTTGTTTATTGTGACTGCCATTCTCCAAGCCATTTTGTTGGTGATCTCAAGGGTATCGTTGGGTCGCCCTATTTTCCATTCTCACTAATACCCTGTAGTGTATGGTAGTAACATAGACCGTATCAATGATCCTGATCTGAGCAGTGTCCATTTGGGAGATAAAGATTAAAATGACAAAAGACGAAAAATGTAAGATTTTTTGTGTGTTTCTTATTAACACAGTGCTAGGGATGTTGAATGTGGTACAGTGATGCTTAATGAAGGAAGTGTGACACAAATAGCACTCCATGCATGTTACCATCAACATTTAGAATATTTCTTTCTAAGAGGATCTTCTTTGTAACTAATTTCTGAACATTCCCATGAAGAGTCCGGGTTAGAATTGGTCTTCAGAAACCTATGCTTGTCGTAATAGGCGATTAATGGAATCGGATGGTCAGGGTCGCTGACTTGGTTGATGCATGTCATCTTGTTCCAATTGTGTGGATCGATGCTCATGATGTCAATCACTGGATTGTCTGGTCCAGTTGTGATTAATTGCAGACCGCAATCATATAGCTGGAATATTGCTGAGTGTGGTGTCAAACATCAAACAAACAAATGTCTTGAACATGTAATTCTGAGATCTGCCTTTTGGTTCACTGAACTTTGCAAATACGTGATCCAGTGTTTCACATATTTTGTTGCTTTTTTAGAAATTTAGTCATGAATTCAGGCCTTATTCGTGTTTCTGCTGTGCAGCATGAGGCAATAAATGCTTAAATTTTTATCCACATTGTGTGATGTGTGAATGGTGGGTGCCATCTGTAGGGCAAGACATGCTTACCAAACACCAGTTGTCATCATTGATTTTCAGTAGTCCAATCCTGTAGTTTCACAGGTATTTTGCCCTTTCCATCAAATAGAATCTGTTTTGGCAGCTAATTAAGACTAGCTATTCTCATGCATTGACAATGTCAATCTTTTATAACCATTTTTTGTCATATAGAAGATGAACAAGAAGGGTTGACTGTTCAGTTCATGAATACTTAGCTCATCTTTTTCCGAAACCGTTTTCAGATATAAAAATGAAATTTGAAATTGATGTTATATGATGGCATTGAAATTAGATTTCATTATGATGTGTGGGTTTGTTAGTTGGAGAGAAATAGAAACTGTAAAGAGATTTAAAAGTTGTGAGTTTACCTAAACAACCATGGTTTGATGGATGAGTGAATAAGGGCGTTTTATTTCTTTTTGTGCCAAGATCCCTCAACTGTGTTAGTTTTGATCAGTGAGATGAGTTTCTCACAATAAGCTTGAGAGATTTGACATTTGCTTAGGCATCAGAATTGAAAAGAAGGTTTCTCTGGAAAATTCCTGTGCCTTCTGAAGATCACAAATTTCCAATATTGACATCTTGATCAATGTGGGTAGTAGCCACAAAATCCTACTGCTCATGCAGTGGTAACATTAGACGGTATACATGTATTCTTGAAAGTGACCTAGCAAATGTAGTTGTGAAAAACAGACCTGGATGATTTTAATTTTTTTTTTTTACATGTATACATAAATTACAAGTTGCTTGAGTGTTTAATTGCTATTATCAGCAGAACATCATCATCGTCTCAAGAAACTTGCTCAGTTCTTTGCTTTAAACCCTGGCACTGGATCGATATGTCATATTAAAACTGTGTGTAAAGTAGCTGTTTATAATGTGTACAAAGTGATCAGTGTTCTGGAATTTGGATGTTTATTATTGTGAAATGTACATTCCAAGTTCCAATTTGCTCCAAACTGTGTGTGTACTTTTAACCTGTAAATTCAAATGGCATCATCTTACTGCTCCAGATGCAAATGTTCTCGATTAATCATTTCTATTTTTGCCTTGTACATGATGTATGTAAATATTCTTTATATATTTCTGTAAGAGAATATGTTTCCTTGGCTGGAAATAGGAATGGTTTGATTTGTGCAGTGTAAATATGATGTTAACGCAGAACATGTTTTAACATGCTGTTGTGAAGGGACAATATTGCGCATTTTGACACTCCATGATCTGTTTCATGTACCAGAACCGAAAATGAAAAAGAATTAACATCATCAACTGAATTTTAGATGTGTCCGGATTCAGGCCTTGACTAATATTCCGGAAACAGTCGACCCCAGTTAGAAACACTTAGAATTGGTCCCCAGCAACCTATTTGACCCCCATGGTGATTCTAGGTTAGAATTGGTCCCCAGCAACCTATTTGACCCCATGGTGATTCTAGGTTAGAATTGGTCCCCAGCAACCTTCTGACCCCATGGTGATTCTAGGTTAGAATTGGTCCCCAGCAACCTATTTGACCCCCATGGTGATTCTAGGTTAGAATTGGTCCCCAGCAACCTATTTGACCCCATGGTGATTTTAGGTTAGAATTGGTCCCCAGCAACCTATTTGACCCCCATGGTGATTCTAGGTTAGAATTGGTCCCCAGCAACCTATTTGACCCCATGGTGATTTTAGGTTAGAATTGGTCCCCAGCAACCTATTTGACCCCCATGGTGATTCTAGGTGAGAATTGGTCCCCAGCAACCTGTTTGACCCCATGGTGATTCTTGGTTAGAATTGGTCCCCAGCAACCTATTTGACCCCATGGTGATTCTAGGTTAGAATTAGTCCCCAGCAACCTGTTTGACCCCATGGTGATTTAGGTTAGAATTGGTCCCCAGCAACCTATTTGACCCCATAGTGATTACAGGTTAAATTGGTCCCAAACAGTCTATTTATGCTGTTAAAGACTTATTATATTGGGTGGTAAGACTTGGCGAGTAGGTTGATAGCAGGTTAATGTTCCCTGACAGCATGGATCATTGCTCACAATATCAATTACAGGATTTTCTGGTCCAGACTCGGTTATTTACAGGCTGCCAGTCTTATTGCTGGAATATTGCTGAGCGTGGCAGTAAACAAAACAAAGTACATAAATGAGCGATAACAGTTGACATAACTCAGATTTAGACTGTGGTCTTCTGCAGGCAGTGGCCAATCGGTTTTATTGCCTGTATGACCGACCAACCTCCTAAGAAGTGCAATTATGTTTTGATAGCTTATTCTATGAACATGTTCTTTAAAAAAATGACAAACCCGATATTGGCCTAAGCCCCTTTGTATCTCCTTAACATGGTTGAAGGTTGGACCCAAAATAAAGGAATACGAAGTGTGTATCTGAAGAATACTAATTTTGTTTCTCTGTACAAATCATTGTTCAGTAAACAAATATAACTGTGTTATGCTTTTCACATTGACACTGTCCATGATTAGGAGAAATGAAGTTAATTTGTTAACTACTGCATTAGTGTTGATTCTCTCTGTTTGGTCCTCTAACTGCATGGTTCCGTTCAGTGATCTAGTAATACCAAAATGGTAATAAGTGGTCCAGCCCACTTTGTCAACCATAGGACTCTGACTAGGATTATTCAGCCAAGAAATCAAAGTATATATACATTTTTTTTAATACGTATAAAGTTCTGTCTCTGAAGCTGGTATTTGTGTTATAATAAAGTGAGTCTGGTTTTACGCCGCTTTTAGCAATATTCCAGCAATATCATGGCGGGGGACTCCAGAAATGGGCTTCACACATTAAAACCATAAGGGGAATCGAACCCGGGTCTTCGACATGACGAGCAAATGTTTAAACCACAAGGCTACTCTAAAGCTCACGTAGTCTGTATTGTCAGTTGTAGACCCTGGTGTCTGCAAGTAGAAGCATCTCAGGTGTCACAAGTACTGTGGTTTTGTAGTCATACTTAGTTTCTCTCTGTCTATGTGCCTACTTGTCCATGTTCCTGTGTCAGTGAAGCATAAACTGTTTATATGACCAGTGTTGTTGAGTTCATTAACCTTTCGTAACAGAGGACATACAAAACAGAAATAAGAAGGGAAAATGAAAGCTTTCAACAAAATTCTTCCCTTACCTTTATCATTACACCAAATCATTCAGATCTTTGAATGCAAATCGGATAGATGCAGTGTCCAGAGGTAATTTGGATCATGATCTTAAGATACTAAGATACTTGTGTTGACATCACCAAATCTCATATATAGGGTAAGTCTTTGTTATGGTTACTGAAACTGAACAAGGACTGGTTTTTAGCTCTAAGAAAATTATGTTCTTTGTTGAAAAGTATGAATCAAAGTTAATGCTACAAGGAAAGTTTGAACACTGTGATATATGTACATACATCAGAATCATTAAAACAGACAGTGCTCTTCAGTGATGAGTTGCTTCTCTTTTGTGTTTTTGCTTTGCTTTTGAAGGATGTATAACCACATAAAACTATGGTATCATGCTATACATCAGTGGTATAATGTTATCCATCACTGGTGTAATGTTATGCATATGTGGTATAATGTTATCCATCACTGGTGTAATGTTATGCATATGTGGTATAATGTTATGCATCTGTTGTATAATGTCATGTTTAAGTGGTATAATGATACATCTGCAGTGTTCCTTATGGAAGTACATGAAAAAGTTTAAATTTTAACCCTTCATATTGTAATCAATGTTTAGAAGATACTTATGTACAACCATTTGTTTCTTGATTAACACCTCACTCTTTAACACTATTCCAGTTATATGATGGCGCTCTGAAAATAATTGCATCTAGACAAGACAATCCAGTGACTGACACCATGAGCATCTATCTATGCAACTGGGATACGATGACATGCTGCATCAACAAGTCTGTACGAGTGCAGAAAACATTGTCGTTTTGTGGAAATGAACTCTTAACATGTGATCAAGACATTACGACGCCAAGCTGAGCTAAACACCATCTATCCCTAGAATCCAGTTTCTAGATGTGAATAGGTCCCCAGCAAGGTAGGCTAGTCGTTAGAGACGACCAAATGGATCGTGTGGTCACACTTGGGGACTTGGTTGAGTGCGTGTGATCGTACCCCGGCGGCATGGATCGTTACTCACAATATCGATCACCGGATTCTCTAGTCAAGGCTCTAGTATTTATATGCTGTCGTCATATTGCTAGATTATTACTGTGTATGGCGTTAAACAACAAACAAACAAATAAGAGCATTATCTGACTAGTCTTCAGGAACCAGTGAAAGTAGGGTTCCATCCCACCACACTCGTTTGGAGAATGATATCTCGCTGTATGGAGCTTGGAAGAGGAATCTGCTCACACATCATTACCCAACAGCGTGAGTCAATGAACAGAACTAACTGCCCAATGAACGATAATAAGGATGCAGATAACATGTTTTGTGCTAAATAAATACATTGTAAGCGATTCCGCGGCATTTGATTGGCTAAGCTGGAAATAATTTTTGCCGATTGTACTTCGGTCATCCTAGAAAATACACTTTCCTGATTGGCTTCTAATAGTATGGGCGGGGCTTGTGTTGCATTATTGCGCTGAACGATGCCCCTGATTTCGTACTGTTGTCGACATTTTGGTGTGTGTTAATAATTCAATGAGCAGTCTGTAAAGTTATTATTGTTGACTATTTTTTAAAAAGAACTTCAACATATTTTGCGTTTATGGAGATATGAACGTAAAAACCGGTGTGCATACTTCGCGTAAGACTCGGAAGATCCGGGGTAGAAGAGGTCTTCAGCAACCCATGCTTACCGTAAAAGGTGACTATGCTTGTCGTTAGAGGCGACTAACGGGATCGGTTGGTCAGGCTCGCTGACTTTGTTGACACATGTCATCGTATCCCAATGCATGGATCGATGCTCATGATGTTAATCACTGGATTAACTGGTATCACTGGTCCATACTCGACTAATTACAGACCGCTGTCATATAGCTGGAATATTGTTGAGTGCGGCGTTAAACAACAAACAAACTTCGCGTAAATCCGCTACAACCGAATCCACAAATCGTTGAGCAAATGTAAGACTTGTGTTGTAATATTTAGACATAAAGGTGGAATATATAAGCTCTATTTTTTGCTCTGGCATTCTCTGGCAGGAACTATGTCATTGAGTGCCTTCTAATCAACTTAATAGGTCCCGATACGAAATCCCTAAATTCCATTGTTAAACCTTTGGCCGATGCCGTTGGTCGCAACAGACGACTGTTTCGAACATCATTGTTCAATTATAGTCTGTGAATATCCGACAGAACGGATTTGTCATAATGCTATCCGTAGCATCGAACAAGCTCACATCATTTTGAAAATGTGTTTATTGTGGTCGTGTCCAAGGTACCGAGGGTGAAACACAAATAACCCCTCCCGGCCACACTACTAAGTATTCTGATGGCATTTGTTAGAAATGCGTAAGGTTAATCACATTGGGTCCACCAATCAGAACAGAAGCATTCAAAGTTGACGTCTTGCTGTTATCGAGGTAGTTGACTCCCTATCTTTGGTGTTCAGTTTCAAATGTGGTTGGCCACACATGCAATATCCATGATCTAGTTCCTGTAGTTTCCCGGTCAAAACTGAATAATTAGGGCTTCGTGCCCGCAAGGCAGAAGACCTATTTTAATTGATAGGATTATTATCATTTATTATTCCGTCCAGAGCTACAAAAATAACCAGTGGACAGAATCACTCCAAAATCAACAGCAACATGGACACCAATGTGAAGCAGATACAACGAACTACAAAGGACCAGAGAATTCAGTTCGTTATATCCGTTGTTCGTTATGCACGTTTTCGCTCGGAGTGAGTTGGGTTTTACGCCGCTTTTAACAGTATTCCAGTTATATCGCGGCGTGTCAGCTTAATGTGGGAGTAAAGCCCGAAGTGATGCAGCCTCAGACGTTTACCACTTCGGTGAAATCCACGAGCACGGGTATGGTGCTGACAAATCTAGATACATAATCGGGGCGAACCGGGATTCGAACCCACAATCATAGGTTTCTGGCGTGCCCAAGGGACGCAACTCTGCACAGCGAATAGCGGCGCCTTAGACGACTGGGCCACCCGTGCCCCCTTTTCGCTCGGATACGTCCGTCATCTTAGATAAAACAAATCACAATACACGTACCTGCAGCTTTGACTTGTAGCATTGAATTTATAACATTTCATAACATTAATTTAAGTTTAACAAGGTTTATCCGTAACCGCTGATTGTGTTGATTCGCCACGACTGTGTTGATTCACCGCTGCTTGCTTACAGCCAATTGTCAGTGACACTTGACAGGGAGTGAGATTTCTAAGTTCGCTATACACGATCACTAATTGGTGGAAGATGGGCTTGTCGGTGATCAAATATCAGTTCGCAGTATCCGTTATTTCGCTGTAGAGAATTCGTTATATACGTACATTTTATATGATATTA